CACTTTCTTATTGTGCCCTACACCAGTGGTTCCTAAACTATCTGTTCCTCACTGAAACTTGAATGCTTTAAAAATGTAAATTCCCAGACCCACCGCCAGGCTTAATGAATTCAATTTCTTGAAGGGGGCATGGGAAGTTTGTGTATAAAATACCCACAGGTGATTGTGATGCAACTAGTTATTTAGAAACCATTGTCAGGAGACTTATCTAGATCCACCTTGGCTTTCAAAGGTCATGGGAGCAGGAGAGAGAGGACCCTCTTTTCCAGAGAGAGGAGACACTATGTCCCCAGCCCTCGTGTATGGAACAAGAGCACAGGAACTGAGGAGCGTGCTAAAGAACAGTAGAGCTGGTGAGGCCCTCTGCCAAGGGGGGCTGCCCAGTCATTCCTGGGCTCCAGCACAGGAAAGAAGGGACAGGAGGGAGTCAAAGGAAGAAACTTGCCTGGACCTTGTCTCCAGCAGGAACAGCCTCTGGCCCTGGTTCACCTTCAAAGACCATCTCCTCAAGGGCTCAGATGGTTAACTCATCACAGCAAAAGCACCATTCTTTGTACTATGCATCAGTTTTAAAGTCTATTAACCATGAAGACAGAGGACTGAGGAATACTAAATGTTTTCCTCTAGAATAGTGTTTCCCAACATGAAGCATGGGCATTTTGGCACAACACTGGGTAATGTCAGGTGATATCCTAAACCCATATGGGGCAGAGGCAGCTTAAATGGGGAGGCCAAGGCTATGCGAAGAAGAGGAGAATAGGAGCAGAAAAAAATGGAGCAGGGGCCGGCTGGTTATCTCAGTTGGCTAGAGCACAGTGTTATTACACTAAGGTCAAGTGTTCAGATCCCCATACCAGCCAGCCACACACACACAAAAAAGAGCAATATCCTACAGGGTTTCCTTTTCCTAGGCATGGGAGCCTCTTTCTCAGCCCAATTAGGATGCTGGCAACAATCCTTGAACCTCATTTCTCCATTAAACCACCTAATGATTTAAATTACTTTTTGTTATTGAATGACCCAAATGTAGACTTGACCATACCCCTCAATAAACATAGTTTAGAAAAATGCTTAGGAACACCTTGCAAGTATCTCTTCATGATGTTCTAACAAGATGATGGTGTGTGGATGGGTATGACAATTTTCTATTACTTTGCAAAAACTAATAACTGGATATGTTCAGAAAAACACATTCTGGATATTCCTCTCGGTATTTTTCTACACAAAAAATTTGTTGGACAAAAGTCCCTTGCATTGTGACTCTCAGTGTCCTGCTCTATCAACAAAAGTACAATTAAATGGATACAATTTTACCATTCTGGGTACAAATGTGAATTGGGATTCAAGATAAAAATAATTCACTGACAAAAAATTCTATCTTTATCTTAACCTTAGTGATGCTAAACTAGATATTTCTGGGTAACAATGAACAGTTCACTTATTCTCATTCAGAAATTCTTTTCTATATTTTACTCATATTTTTTATAAAAATTAGCAATTTAAATATTAATATTTATCAGGCTTACTTTTATGGTTACCTTCTCTTTATGCCATATAATATAGACTATTTAAAGAAGGCAAGAGAAATTTGCTTTTTGAACAAAATTTTCTTTAGAGCAAATAATATTTTTACTCAAATAAATTGAAATTAAAAATCATTAAAGGTGATGAATCATTGTGGGGAAATCCTGATGACAGTCAATGAGTGATAGCAGTTTGAGAATCACTTCTCACGGGTCTGTGGTCTTCTCTGGAGGAGGAAGGTACAAATCACCCGGATACAAGGGTGATTGATGAAAAGTAAGTTCATGTGTTAAAACCAAATCCTGATGACAGTCAATGAGTGATAGCAGTTTGAGAATCACTTCTCACGGGTCTGTGGTTTTCTCTGGAGGAGGAAGGTACAAATCACCCGGATACAAGGGTGATTGATGAAAAGCAAGTTCAGGTGTTAAAACTTTAGGCATTAGTGGAGACCACAGAGGTATTCAAGGAATTAAGATTTTGGGGGAAAGATGACATAAGATAGACAAAGCATGAAATCCTTATGCATATTTTTACGTTTTCTGAGATAAAACCATGTAGCACATAAATAAATGATCTTTTCCTCATCATGTTTAGCAGTAATGGGTTCTATGCTATTAATTCCATAAACCATTCCTTGCATGATACACATTGCGGTGGGATCATCTTTCCCTACAGTTACCATAGAGAACCCACGCCAGGAGCATTCCAGCTCGGGCTCTCTCCATCCTAATGGACTTGGAACACAGTGGTGCTCTTATCCAGGAAATACTATCATCCCTGAGAGAAACAGTTATTAGAAAATAAAGACTTAGATATACAACAAGTCTTTAACATTCTTTGTTGAAAAGATTGGCTAAATGGGAATGTATTACCTCCTATCCCCAATTCCCCATCTTAAATTCCCAGCTCTGCCCATAATTCATCATTGTTAAATCATTTATTGACAGACTCTATTCGCATACATCTCAGAGGCCGTGAGAGTAAAGTTCTAAGGCCTGAATGTCCTTCTCTTTATCTCTCCCAGGTTAGTGCAGCACAGCTACAGGAGAACCCCTGTGGACCTGGGTTTGAATCCTGACCTCATCACTTGTTGACCATGTGCCCTTGAGCCAAATATGTAATTTCTGTGAATCCCAGAGACCTTACCTGCAAACAAAGGATAATCCTATTTCTGTAACCAAGCTGATGTGAGGATTAAATGAGATAGCATATATAAGGGGTTTAGCACAGTACATGGCACCCCCATTAAACATTAATATATGAACTTCTAATAATAATATTTTATTACTAAAAGATATAAAAATACCTTCTTTTTTCTCTCATTTATTTTATCTGTTGTCTATTCCATTTTAAATTCTTAACCATAATTTATTTTTTGTACATTTGCTAAATAGTAATAATAAATATAAAAATCCTCTTAAATATATTTTAAAGATATGCATGTGAATGTGTGTGTGTGTGTGCGTATATATATATATATATACACACACACACATAGAGAGAGTAACAGATGTAGGAAAAAATACTGTATGTTCAGGTCAATTGAACTTACATTGCTAAGATAATTCTTATTCCCCATTGTTCTGATGATTTAAAATTTGGAAAACCTGAGAACAACTGCTTTATAATCATTTAGTTTTTTTTTTCCTTTTTTCCTCTCTTTTCTCTCTCCTGTCCCATTCCCCCATTCCTCTATCCCTCCAGTCTCCTCCTCTCTCTCTTTTTGCAAAAATATTTTACTAGAATGCCATTTGAGTAGGAAAAACATATGAGGGTACTTCAAAAAGTTCATGGAAAGATTCATTTTAACTTTCAATTCTATTTTTCCATAGACTTTTTGAAGTACCCTTACACATATACGGTAGCTTTATCTTAAGTTATTTCCATAAATAAATGTTTACATGCCCATTACAGTAGAACACAATAATTCAGTGTTTCCTCACCATCGTAAATGTGTCATCTATTTCATTCTAGCATTTGACAGTTTCAGATTTCCTCATGCCCAAACAAAAAACCATTAATTATTGAATGTCTTATCTGAGGCCTCCCCTCAATGAAGTTACTCTCTGAGATTCTTGATCAACATTTACATAGTTTAATTATCTTGGAAATAACTGACTTCTTATTAACTTATTCAAGAAATTAACAAATTTTAAAGATAAAGAAACAGAATACTTTATTATAAAACTTATAAAATAATTAAATATTACACATATATTTTGACATTTCTCTATAATCCATGGTTTTATTCAACATTTTTCCTTAGAATTAATATCACTTACTCAGAGAAGCAAGTGAGAACACATAAGAATAGGCTATTAATTAATAAATTAATTTTTCCATAAAATAATAAAATGATAATTATATAAAGAAACAAATAACTTGCCATTTTTCAGAGTGCAAGGGGGTGGTGGTGTGGAACCATTGTTCTTTCTTTTCCTGGATGATGAAATGGCCACTACTCCAGGCCAAGCCAAGTAGATTGAGAAAAGGTCTTAAGTATTATTTCTCTGAGATTCAGGAACTCATGATTTTAATTAGAATGGGAACAATGAATGCTGCTAAATTAAAAAACAAAACAAAAACAAACACTGTCTAGTTGGTTATGCTGAGCTGGCTAATCCCTGTTTGAATTGAGACTTTTTAAAGAAGTAAAATTGGGTTACATTCATCAAAGAAGTTGAGGAATAGAGTAGAATTATATAAATACGCCCTTTCTAACCACTTCTCAAAAAAATTACAGAAAGATACAGTCTTGTAAGTTACTTTGGTTTTGGCAAAATAGTGTGGTGATTTTCCAATTGAGAACAGTTTTAAGCTCATTAATGCCTACCAACAGCTGGCTTCTAATGATTGAAAATACCATCTGCAAGACTATAAAATACTCTTATTCATTGAAGGTTCTTAGCATATTATAATTTATTAATATTAACGTAGCAAGAAGACAGATGGATTTTTCTGTTGTACTATGCTTTTTTTTGTTTTGTTTTTTCTTGTTAACTAAATCCTAGGGTAAATTTAAACATGTCTGTTGGTGGGAAAAAGCCACACACAGCCTTCAATTTTCCAAGCAACCCTGATAATATGCATGGAGCATTATAAACGATGTTCTCTTCTCCTTCAAAACACTACTATTTTACCATTTTGCTCCTAGATTGTTATCAGTAATGAACATTTCACCAATCTCCTTCCCAAAGAGCAGGCTTTGGCCTCCAGTCTACTTGTTCAGTAAGCACCAAAAGTTGAGGTTGATATGTGAAGGGCATCAGTATTTGTCTCTGGTATGAGTTTTTTTCCCCAAGAGTGAATTTCCAGAATATTCCTTAGAACACTTTTCAAGTTAGTCTTGGAGACCCTCTATAAGTAGTATATACTTTAAACAAAATAATAAAAAACACACACGCACTAAATAACATAACATGCAGCTTGCTAGTCCAGCAGCAAGCACAATATCAAGCACCATTTGGCTTTTCCTCTAACACCTGGTTTGGGTGTTCACAGTTTTAGTCAAACTGTGAACTCCCAGCAACAGTTAGGCAAGGTGTTTTATCCATCTTTGATTTCTCCAAGTCTCAGTCTTTGACCTGAAGTCTTAAAGGACCCTTTAAAACAGGCGTCTTTGTGATTGAACCCTTTCAAATTCAGAAGGGGGATCTATCCCAAAGTTGACAAGATTCTCACTTTGTCAAAATTAAAACTTGACATATTTCAGTGTGATTGATCACTTCTTTTGTGTTACAGTGCAAATCAAAGATTTTGTTTTTGGTAAGTCAGATTTGTCATCGCTTCCCATTTTCAAGTGCTTTGGAGTACCATGTGTTTTGGAGAATTAAATAAGGAGCCTGGTGGCAAGCTGTCCTTTCCTCAGAGCTGGCTCATCAAACACCTCAGCAGTTCACAAAGGGTTTGTAGTGCTCTCCTTCTGATCTGAAAGGTGGCTAGTCTCTTCAGATGTTGAAAGGTAGGACCCTGGCCCTGTGTTGTTGGGGAAGATGTCAAGATCAGCTCTTCCTTGTACATGACTTGCAGCACTGTTTACCATAAAATTTGTGGTTGCAGACACCATGCTGAGGAACTAGTTGACACCAGCTGAACAAATCTACACAGGATGGATCCTCTAAAGTGAGAAAACACATTTATCATGTTAGCTAAGGCTCTCAGAATTTTTCTTAAGGTGAGGGCCTGCAGAACAAAGACCTTGGGCCCACCTACTTTGTGACTCTGTATGACTCTTGCCATAGTACGACAGGAATTTGGTAAGGGAATGAAGCAGTGGTGGGATTAAGATACCAAAAGGGGCTATGACCATTAGCAAAATTTAAACAGGTGGGGAAAAATGGATGTTAAGAAAAAGAAGTCTTATACAGTCAGAAATCAATGTCTGATCCTCTCTATATAGCCTGGGAGCTACCACTGAATGGAGTGTCCAAAGGAAATATCCTAGAATAGCACATTAGAAGTTCCCTGGGGGATCTTGTTAAACCACTGGTTCTAATTCAAAAAGTCTGAGGCAGGAGTTGAGATTCCACATTTTTAACAAGCACCAGAGGGTGTTGGTATTGCTGGTCCACAAACTATTCTTTGGAGAGCAAGGAGCCTAATATATTGGGCACCTGGATTTGATGCTCAGCTCCAATATTCTGTGTAGGTTTGTTTAAATCAGGCAGTTTGCAAATAAGTGCATTTAAGTCAACACCGGTCCTTTCCAATTTCTTTAGCTGCTTAAGTAAGATGACAGATGTGATCATCCATTGGAAGCAAGACATTGTACATTAGAGATTCTTATTCAGAATGGCCTCAGGAGATACAGAATGCATGTGAAATTGTATGTAAAATTTTCTTTATGTAAACATAAAAGCGTGTTTTAGGAGCTAAGGCTCAGTCATTTTACTACAGTCTTAAGGCAGATTTTTGACTTCAAAACTCAGGAGATACAGAATGCATGTGAAATTGTATGTAAAATTTTCTTTATGTAAACATAAAAGCATGTTTTAGGAGCTAAGGCTCAGTCATTTTACTAGTCTTAAGGCAGATTTTTGACTTCAAAATTATTTAGGGTCTTCACTATGCACGAGTAAAATATCCTCATTCATTGCTAGATTTGTTTTCTCTTTTCTCTATGCAAGCTTTAAGTTGCCTCAAGCCCGGCGGTCCTCCCACAAGCCACATTCTACTGCTTCCCTGTTCAGAGTTCTCCACCGATTTCCATCTTACTCTTCCCCATGTAGAATTCCAGCATGGACTGGAGCTGATCCGGCTCTGAGCAATTGCTACATAACTAGTTTTCCTGTCTTGTGCAAGCCTCAGAAAAGATAGGGAAGGGAGCAGAGGAAGGAAAGTTGATGCCCCAAGCCTGGCGTTAAGACTATAAGAAATAGATAAATAAGAACAACTTAGAGGTGGACAGTGACAGGGCAGAGCAAGTAATGGTCATGAATCTGATTCACCACAAAGTGGAAAAAATGGGGTATGAGCTTGGACCATCTTGGAAAAGCTGAGATTGGATTTAAAAAAAAAAAAAAAAACACGTAGGAGTTATGTGCTAGAAAATGAGTCTTTAGCACAAGGAAATCTTATTAGACTAAGAAATATTTCCCAGTGTTTGTCTTAAAAAAAAAAAAAAACACATAGGAGTTATGTGCTAGAAAATGAGTCTTTAGCACAAGGAAATCTTATTAGACTAAGAAATATTTCCCAGTGTTTGTCTGATTACTTTAAAATAAGTGGATGAGTGAAAAATGGTACAGCTCATTCAGATAATTGAATTTTCCATCTCCCATCAGTACTCTCTGCACCTCACTTGTACTGACTTAAACTAAAAAAAGCTTTAAGGTATAGTCCTAGGACAATACGTATTCATTGTGGGTGATTTTAACTTGTCTATCTCCTCAGTTAAAAAGAGAGCTCCTCGAGGGCAATTCTTGTTAGCTCTCATATTCCCACTAATTAGTGTAATATCTGAATGGTTATTTCTTCATTTGTTTATGCGACAAATATTGAATTTAAAGAAAAGGACTTGCAAGATTACCATTAAGAATCAATGGCTAAAAAACCTTAGCCCAGAATTAAATGTTTCCTTTGGACCCTTATGAACAAGATCATTTTGACAGGAACTGCCCAAAGCCATGCTCTGTGCAACCCTAGGAGGCACCACTACACAGACTTTGATGAGAGCAGCACACCCCAGAGTTGTGTGATGCACAAGCAGCAGAACCAGATAGAGTGGGCTTTTGAAGAATTCTGAAGGTCTAGTAAATTGGCTGGAGCAGGGTGCCCTTTACCTCTCTTCTCGGGAGCTGGACAAAAGTTTGTATTGCAGGCTCGTAGCCCAGGAGGCTTCTGACTCAGCAGACAACTTGAGGAAGGCCGTCCTTGCTGAACACAGTGGACTGATCGGGTCTGGACCCCTCCCCCACAGGTGACCGTGCACTGAAAGAAAGAGAGAAGAGTCAGAAATGTTCAGCTGGCTGGTGTCCTCTCTGAGGTCAGTGATATCACAAAAAAGGAATCCACACACTTGATGATTGTCTGGAGCCAGGTACATGTGCTTATGGTCCATAGAGTCAATCCTAACACAAGTGAGCTTTTTGATTTGATATGAAGAGCAAATGCTATTTATCTAGCCCAAGAGTGTGTATCTCCCAGTTAAGTGACTCATAAAGAAGAGAGGTTCCAGAAACACAGAAGCTGTCATACAAACACAGAAGTAAATACAGACACATCTAGGGAATTAATCACAGTATTCAAAAAATTCCAGACAATTCCTGTGGATGCAAGAGTGAAGTAGGTAGTTCAAAGCTAGGACAGAAAAAGAAATGATAATCTGAGACAGCTTTGGAATTATGCCCTTGGTGTCCAGCCAAATTTTGAAATAGTATGGTGAATTTGATGCTTCCTAGAAGTCAGTCATTTTACCATTCAATTAAAAATTTTTTAAAATAGACAACTAACAAGGACTATCAACTTTCTTATTTTTTTCAGATAGAAATATGAAAAGTTAATACAAAGATATTTCATTACAAAAAAATAAAATAGGGAATATTGTCAGAAAATATGCAGCCCTTTAAATTGATTTTTTTGTTGTTCAGCTTTAAAAATTCACTACACTATCCTTTTGTTGTTGTTGTTTTTTCTTATTTTATTGCAGACAGATGAAGGCTTTATCTTGGACAACCATCATATATGGTCTGGTATCGGGGAGAAAAAAAATATGTTGGCGTGGAAAGAGTATGAGTTTGGAATTAGCCCAATATTCGAATATAGTAGTATGATTGTCATCAGATCATCTAAACTTTTCCTGTAAAGGGTGAGATAGTAAATATTTTAGGCTTTATGGGCCATGTGGTCTCTGTTGCAATTACTCAACTCTGCCTTTGTAGCACAAAAACAGCTATGGCCAATATATAAGCAAATGAGCATGGCTGTGTTCCAACAAAACTTTATTTACAAAAATAGGCAGAGGTTGTGGGAGCAGACTGGTCTGCTGGCAATTGCTTGTTGACCCTGATCTAAATAATATTATAAGAATCAATTTCTAAATATGTTAAATGAGTAAAATAAAACTTTAAAATTGAAATCCACAGCAATGTGTATATCACCCAGCACAGTGCCTAGCCAGTTAGATGACTAAATCATGCTAAGTTTTTTTCCTTTTTTCCATGTTTTAGTTTCCAGATCCTCCCAAACACATATGTACACACAACACATATATACATATGTACATATACATATATGTGTAAACAAATACATATACACACAGGTATACATATGCATGTATCCATGTATATATAAACACACATATAAATACACACACATATACAAACACAGATATGCATACTTATATATTTGTGCCTGCACATAACCCCAACCAGCTCCTGTGTTTAATGTTGAGGTGAGCAGCACCTCTCATGCCCAGGAGTCCTTTGAAGACCTGTGAAACATCTGTTGGTTGGGATGCCACAAGGACCATGACACAGTTTTGGGTTCCTGAGGACATGCTGTTCTCTCAGACTCAGCATCAGATACCAATCCTAGTCAATAAGAACTAAACCAACATGACCGAAGTCCATCCAAGTCTTCTCAGAAAGAGGATACCTCTAACATTTGATGAGCTTAAAAGCTGGGTGGCCTTAGCTGAACTGTATAACACTCTGAACTTTACATCCACAAAACAAGGAGAATAATACCCACCAATAGCATTGTTTCAAGGATTAAGTACAAGAACAGAGAATGCAGGTACTTAGCACAGTGCATAGTAATGGTTTGACAAATGTTAGCTATTGTCACATTAGTAGGGAACTTGAACCAAATGTGTAAAGACTGTGAGCATCATTACTAAAATATGAAAGACAATGCAGGTACTTAGCACAGTGCATAGTAATGGTTTGACAAATGTTAGCTATTGTCACATTATTAGGGAACTTGAACCAAATGTGTAAAGACTGTGAGCATCATTACTAAAATATGAAAGATGATAGCAGTGGTTTTAGTAGCAGCAGCAACAACCAACATCAGCAGTATGTGAGGGGCCTGTTGCTAAGTGCTTTATATTCATTATCTTATTTATTTATAAAAAAAAAAAGCAACTCTGCCATATATTATCATCCTAATTTTCTAGATGTGAAAACTGAGGCTTACAGATTATGTCACCTGCCCGGGGTCACACAGGTGGTAGAACAGGTCAAACAATGCAAGCCTTCCTGCCTCCAGAACTCCAGCACTTTGTCCTTTACACTCCAACGACTGTTGATGGAGTAAGAGCAAGGGACACCTCCTTTTCTTGCATCTCAATTGAGTATAAGCCTCCCCACCTGTTGCCACGGTGATGAATACCAGCCAGCTGCCATACTGTACACAGGACGGGCTGGACAAGCCCTTCGGTTGCAGGTTTCTTCCAAGTCCAGGTTTGGTTTCTTAATACTGCGGCATCTCCGCTCTGGGAAAGTTATCAGCTTTCCCTGGAAGGCCTTCTCGCTGCATCTCATCTCCCTCTTCCTCACACCCAAACCACAGCTTGCGGAACACTAGGAGCCAAGAAAGAGGGTGTAAGAGTGCAAAGGTCCATGGTCACATCTGCTGAGCAGATGCATTTTGACATAAGGTTGCACCACTGACATGAAATTAGAGGGATGGGGTTAGGGAAGGTCAACCACATACACATGCACACGCATGCATGCACACGTGTGCACTCAAGGACCTTAAAGGTCCAGCAGCCGAGTTCCTCATGCTGCAGGTAAGGAAACCAAAGGTCAGAGAACTGGAGTGACTTTCCCAAAGTCACAGGGTTCATGAGCACCATAAAAAAGAAAGCAGCCACTGTTCAGCAGGGACTGTGAGATGCCACGTGGACGTGGGACAGAGCCTGAGAGAAAGACAAAATTGGTAGAAGGATGAGATCAGGTGTGGGGTTAAACACCTGTGGTCCAGGTGCATCTGAGACCTCTCTGAGGAGTTGGGAGTCTGAGAGCTAGGGAGCTAGGGCACAGAGAAAAGGGTTAAGAGACAGCCGAGTAGGAAGAACCACTGGATAACAAATAATTCTCCTTTATTTCTACCTTGCCTCTCCCTCATCTGAGATATAACCTATTGGTGTGTTATGACAGGGAAAAAAAGAAAGAGAGAGGGAGGGAGAAAGAGAAAGATGGAGGCTGATGAAATAAGTATGAAAAAACATGTTTTTAAAGGGATTTTAAACAGTATTATGGGATAATGTATGGGGTCTTGATGAAGTGAATAAATCAGTAAAATTGGTGTCAATGTAAACATCACAGACAATAAAGGATGACACCGAACTTCCTACTTACTACCCTACAAGGGAGGGGTACCTGTTAGCTCCACTGTACAGATGAGGAAGGCGAGGTTTAGCCACGTCTAAGCTATGGCGGTGACTAGCCAAAAGTCACATCCATAGTAAATACTGAAGGCTGATTTCAAATAATTACAGATAACCAATTCAATTTGGTTTCCAAATTTAACTTCTGATTTACCAGCATTTTGATGTTTTAATTAAGATATTGAATCCAAATATTTTGTTTTCACAAAATATTTTTGTGGAAATATTCACAATAATGTTTTTGTGATATTTTGGATAAAATATTCAAAATAAAACGATTTTACCCTTTGGATAAAATCTGCAAATAATTTGAATTCCATCTTTCCCTAAGATAATAGATTTTATTTTTTAATAATTTTAACATGTAGAATCTCAGTTTTCAAGGCCGATGTGGATTCTAGAACCATAAAGTGATAAATACAACCTTTTGAAAATAGAGTGAGATTTAACTCACATTGCATACATCTTACGAAAAATATTTTTCAGAGAAAAACCACTGGTGAATTATGTGTGGAAACCGTAAGATTCTGCATCTTATACCTCCCTAAGGGCATGGTGAACATACAAACAAATAGTTGAACTTGCTGGATATGTACTCACACCTGTCAGCTGGGATTCTGTTTTGCTTGTTTAGTGGCATCCTGCTACCTTGCTTTCAATGTTCATTTCAGAATTTCTTATCGGAAGCATACAATTTTTTGGTGAATAACTGTGTTTTTTAGTTCCTGTAGTGTATTGAATTATGTCCCCCCATAACACACTGAAGCCTGAATTGTGTCTCCCAGGTTTTATGTTTTAGAAACTTGGCCTCCACTGTGACTGTTAAGAGGGTGGGAAATTCTACTATGGTAATTGAAAGGTGGAGCCTTGAAGAGGTGATTAGATTGCAGGATCATGCCTTAGAGAATGGATTAAAAATGGTGGTCAGGGGCATGATTCTGAGGGCTTTAAAAGGACAGTGCATGAGTAACTGTCCCTCTCTTATCTCTCTGCTTCCACCATCTTGCAATGTGAGATCCCTGGGTCACTGTTGTCACCACCAGATGGACTTTGGACTTCGCAGCCTCAGAAACCATAAGCAATAAATTTTGTTTTTCTTTGTAAATCACCCAGTTTCAGGTATTTTGTAGCAACACAAAAATGGACTAATACAGTTCCTCAAATAGGAATGCTGCTTTCTCTCAGAATTGTGTTTGTTTTTACTTACATGGTACTATTCCTTAAAATGGAATCTGAGAAATGATAAAAAGTCATTCCTGCTATAACGATTAGTAGTCAGTACAGCTCCTTGGGTTGAAGCAGGTTCACTTTCAGAAGGCACTTACTGAAACCACATTGGGCTACCCAAAAGTTAATAGTTTACTTCCATTGAATTTATTCGTTTAGACTCTTTCCTATGCTTAGTACACACCACGTAATAACTTCGTATAGCATACATTATACGAAGTTATACGACAGCCTTGAACATTTATGTTATGCCTTCCATGTGATGATGCATTTTAGCGTGTTTACCGCAGCCTGCTCATACCACCCTCTAACAACCCCATGAGATAATTACTATTAACCTGTTTTACAGAAGAGGCACCTGAGAATCAGAGAGCTTAGGAATCTCAACCAAGATCAGTCACACAACTGTTAAATTGCAGAGATGATCAGACAGGTTTGTCTGATGCCAGGCACTAGAAATGAACAGCTGAACACATCATTACTCTTTCCTTTTTTTTTGGTCTTTTTTGTGACCAGTAAGGGGATCACAACGCTTGGCTTGGTGTCGGCTGCACCGTGCTCAGCCAGTGAGCACACCAGCCATCCCTATATAGGATCCGAACCCGTGGCAGGAGCGCTGCTGTGCTCCCAGCGCTGCACTCTCCCGAGTGAGCCACAGGGTCGGCCCATTACTCTTTCACATACAACATTTCTAAATAGTTAGTTCCTTTTCAATAAAATTCTTATTTTATATTTGCAATTCTTTTTCAGAATGGTGAAATTTTTTAATTGATCTGCAAAGTGTTCTCAAAGACATTGTTTCTAATGGAAGAACACGTTGTAACAACAGTTCTGAAGGTCCACTTTCATATTAGTGATGAATATGTTCTCAAATGGACACGTTTGGTTTCATAGAGAGAAAGAGAGAGAGAGAGAGAGAGAGAGGAAAGGAAGGAAAGAAAGAAAGAAGAAATAAAACAAGAAGGAAGGAAGGAAGGGAAGGGAATGGAAAACAAAGAAAAGAAACAAAACAAAACAAAAAAAGCAAAAAAAAAAGAATCAAAAAAGAAAAAAATTATAAAACCACTCAAAATATTTCTCTGTGAAATTTGGGGTAAACCCTGTGAACTAAAGCTCCTTTATCCATGCCCATCATACAGATTTGGCTAAAACAGTCCTTTGAATTCTTTTTAAAACTATTATTCCTGACTGCAAAGAAAGAGACCAGACTCAACACCATATATGAGTACTGGTGAGATTTACCCTTGGCTATAAACACATTCTCTCATTTGAAAGTACCCCAAGCATGCACAAAGATATTCCTTCCCACTCCCAGCCCCTTATTCCCCTAACAGGTATAGTTCTAACACTAAAAAAAAAAAAAAAAAAAAAAAAAAAGAGCCTGACTCTGGCCTCTACTGGGGATGTAGTGGTACATTGCTTTATTTAACCAGAAATCGACACCTTACAGGACATAACGTACCTAAAAGAAAGCACAGCAGAAACGTGATCAGTGGCTACTGCCTGGCTTCATAGTTCAGGTGATGAAACTTATGCTTTTTTTGGATTCTTCTCTAAAATGTACTGGCCATCTGTGGTTTAGCAGAGGTCATGCTATTAGCTGTCAAGGGATGCTACGGGGCAGGTTTTCTCACCTCCGCCACGATTGACATTTTGGACCAGATAATTCTTTGTTGTGGGGAGCTGTCCTGTGCACTGTAGGACATTCACCTCTACCCACTAGAAGCCACTAGCACCCATTTGCCCCTCCATGTTGTATCAATCAAAACAGTCCCCTGGGGAAAAAACTTGCTCCTAGTTGAGAACCTCTGCAATACAGGGAATTTCTGAGTTGTGAATGACAGTTCTACACCTCTTTCAACTTTATAATTTTATGTCTTCCACTGGGAGTTTGTGACAATAGCAAACTTTATGCCCAGCTTCTCTCTGTATTCTTCTAACTCTACCTCTTTCTCATTGAAGCAAGAGTTAAACAGCTTTTCTACGCCTCGTTTTTTGTTTGTATTTTCCATTTGCTTTGGAGAATTCAGTAGCCAGCTCTATATGCCAATCATCTGACACTTAAATTTTTCCTAGCTGTGCTCGTTAACCTTAATGGTCCCATACTTTAATCTCTGGACCTCAAAGGAGGATTCTAGGCTCTGGGACAGGCGTTCCCAAACTTTGGGTCTCATAAGAATCACTAAAAGCACTAGTTAAAATGCAGATTCCCAGGCACAACCACATTAACTCAGTGTGATTTCCATGAAGATATAACTAGCTGAGAGCCTCTTGGGAAGCAAAGACACACGTATTTTTGCCATCTTAGCCTTGCATGGGGAATAAGACCAATCAGTGACTGCAAGTCTTCACCAGTTACCTGAGACCAGGGCCCAAGGCTCCATTCCGGAGGGCAGGCATGGCTGTTGCAGACTTGAACCTGAGTGGGCGTGCTCACTGGGCAGAGGGAATGCAACACTGCTTCCTCCTTCTGGAAGGGCTTCTTCTGCACACACTGGATCTTCCGGCTCTGCTGGCCCCCTGCACACGACTTGCTGCAAAGGCTCCACTCACCTGGCATCCAGCTTTCAGTGAAAAACAAAATTACTTTCCATGAAACTGAGACTTTGTAGCATCACTTCCAAAGCAGTTACTATGAAAGATTAACCACCTGATGAAAGCCTTAGATCAATTTTAGAACTAATAAGGGCAATCTGTACTAATCGTTGTTTTATAGATTTTGAAGCTTACACTAATGTGGCCCAGACATAAGGAATCACACTTAATCACCACACAGTTCTAGGGAAAAATTTATTACTGCCTTCTGCATGGGAAGAAACACATGTCATTTTAATGTCTGACCAATTCATTCAGCCAAATTTATTGGGATCTTAACTATGTGTCACGGACTCTCCTAGGCATTAGGGTTGGAAAAATGAATGAGGCAGCATTCTTTCCATTAAGGAGCCTACAACACAGTGAAAAGGTGGATATGTGAACCAATAAAGACAATACTTTCTGATATGTGCCGCAATAGGAGTTGACACAAAGTACAAAAATGAGGCTCATGGAAGAGCAATCAATGACAGAGAAGTAAAGGGGAGGAAAGGGGGACATATTCAGAGACCATCTCACAGAAGATATTTCTAAGTGGGCGATTCTGCAAACTACTTTTCTGGTTAGTGTTAAAATTTACTGACGGGTTAGAGATCTAACCTCATGTTCTTTATTTAAAGATTGCCAGATCAGTTTTTTCACAGCTATCAGAGACTTGGTATATCTTTGAAGGGTGATCAATGGAAACTATTAATCCTTTTCAACAACTCCTTTTTATTAATTGAAATTCTATGACTTAAAGACCTAGCATTAAAAAGTTACACCAGATCTGATTGTGATACATTTGTGTCACAGGAACAATGTCTAAAACTGATCTTGGATTACAAATATTCTAAGTATCATCTTAGGAAATAACACATCAGTAAGACCAAATATGTTTTTGCTATGCTTTTAGCATTTCTATCACCTTTTCTAGTTTTATAACTTTTTCCTCTGGTTTCCTGTATGTGAAATTAAAGAGCTTTAGTCCAGAGCATTTAGCACATGAGTTCTAAGGTTATATGTGTTCTAAAACATTGTATAATGCATACTATCCTATTTAGATAAAGAAAGTTAATATCAATAGATTAATTCCTTATATTTGTACAATTATTTATATCTTATAAGTTATAAAGAAAACATGTTATTATGAAATTATCAGTTTCAACTTCTGCCTATTAAAATGGCATGTTTGTCTACCAAATTCAAGTTTCTTTCCTTATGTGACAAATATGATTGTAGAAGTACTAGTAAAAGCAAAACACGAATAGACCTTTTGCATGACATGCATGGTCTTCCACATCTAACTCCAGCTAACCTCACCCTCATCCACTCCTGCCTCCGAGCCCAGACCCCTCCCCCCACTGCCCATTTTACCCCTTACTGCTTTTTTATATGTAACATTTTTATAGCACAGATTGCACTGCATCTCAGTCCTTTCTTTATAGGAGGGTACTTCAAAAATTCGTGGAAAAATAGAATTAGAATATGAATCTTTCTGTGAACTTTTTTTTTTTTTTGTCTTTTTTTTGTCTTTTCCCGTGTCCGGCAATGGATTGCAACCCTCAGTGTTGCCCCCGTACCGGACTGGGGACCGGCAACGGGATCGCAACCCTCAGTGTTGCTCCCGCGCCTCGCTCAGCCAGTGAGCGGGAACCGGTCTGTATGTGGGATCTGAACCCTCGGGCGGGAGCACCACTGCGCTTCCCAAGCGGCGCACTAGCGCAGTGCGCCACCGGGCCGGCCCTCTGTGAACTTTTTGATACCGTTGTACATCCCTCATTTCCATTTGATTGTGGTTCATTGATGGCAGGAACTATATACTATTCTGCTTTGTACCTCAGTTCTCAGCTCAGGACCTGGCATACAGTAAGTCCTTATGACATGGTTGTTACATAAAAAAGTGATGAAGTTAGCTAAGATAAACTTCTTTGTTTTTATAGCCCTAATAGTCTAAGAGTCTAAACCTTTCTTTCTAGTGTATCTGTGGGGAAGAATAGTTCCTGAGAGGCTCCATTATTCCAGCCAAGAATACAGAGAAATAAATAATAGGGTGGAGAAAGAGGAAAGGGAGCAGAAGACACTGACCATGTCACCACTCCTACTCTGCAGAGCCATTGTGAGAGGCTACTGGGCTTTTAAATAGCCAGTAAATTACAGCACAGAATATCATTTTTACAGGTAGTCATCAGGGGAGTTCTAGGAGTTGGGCATGACCTTGGCTGTCTCCCTTTTCAGGGATGTACCTATGATTGGGGTCCTTTTCTTTGGTTGGCTGGAATAATCAATGATGGGAAAGAAGCTCAAAATCAAAAATCCCTACATGTATGTAAATGCCCACACATACCATCACCACCCAAGGGAGGGATTACTCCACAAGGGTCAATAACACTGTTTGGTCATCACATTTTACAGACACTGGAATATTTCTTAGTGTCACATATTTCTTAGCAAGAGGTAAATCCACAGAAGCTGCCCAAATTTCTTTCTTTACAATACAGCTGGTTTGAGATCCTAAGAAAAAAATTGGGTTGACTTTGGGCATATATGATTGGCAGAAGGCTGAAGCCCCCCCAATTATGACAAATGCACTATTATTTACAAAGAAAAAAATGTGTGTATATATATATATATATATAATGTATATATATTATATATATATATTTAAAATGTATGCTTGTGTGTATATATATATAAAGAGATTTCATAATATGATTGTATCACCACAAACCAAGTACTAATTATTAAGATGATCTGAAACACTGGTAAACACAAGATTGCTTTAGAAGAAATTCTACTCTATATAAATAAATTTGGCAGAAGATAAATCACATAAGAAGAGACTCCATTTGGTTGGGAAGAACACTTACAATTAGTGTTCAAATGATAATGTGGCCAAATTCAATCCAAGAACAAACCCACTGAGCTCCCCACTGGGTACCACCGTCTGTGGTGGAGTCACCACTCGGCCTCTACTCCTTTCTTCTCATTTTGTGTCTTGCTACTGTGTAATTTGCATTTGGGGTTTTATGGTCTTCATAGCATTATGAATTTTAAATTCTTGGATGACTCACATAAGTTATGCATACAACCACATGTAAATTTAACTAATATAGGATTCTGTGTTACTTACATATCTGTTTGATTTAGATCAGAGAAGAGGGGTCTCTATGGCAAGATTGTTTTAAAAAGACACCTTCATATCTCAAGGTTAGGTTTGCATAGCCGAAGTCAAGTGAATGTCTCAACCAAATTGATGTTTTTCAAGTCATATATTTCAACCATAACCATTTTCTTTCTTCTATTACTTTTCTAGGTATGGCATCTACCTTTGAATCACTTTCAATCAAGTATTGACAGTGGGCTTTTACTGTCGTGTACCAACATTAAAGGCATTTAAGTACAAATATAAACAGAAAGACATTTCCAGATGACTTACTAGGCTGGGCAGGAGAAAGCATTGCATGTTTTGGGTTCAGTTGCTGGCTTGGTTCTCGCATTGCAGAATGAGGAATTGACTGGAGTATTTTGATCTTGTAAGCAAATGGCCTTTACACTTATGTAACCTAATAAGACATCAGAATTACAAAGTGAAAATTACAGATAACCAATTCAATTTGGTTTCCAAATTTAACTTCTGATTTACCAGCATTTTGATGTTTTAATTAAGATATTGAATCCAAATATTTTGTTTTCACAAAATATTTTTGTGGAAATATTCACAATAATGTTTTTGTGATATTTTGGATAAAATATTCAAAATAAAACGATTTTACCCTTTGGATAAAATCTGCAAATAATTTGAATTCCATCTTTCCCTAAGATAATAGATTTTATTTTTTAATAATTTTAACATGTAGAATCTCAGTTTTCAAGGCCGATGTGGATTCTAGAACCATAAAGTGATAAATACAACCTTTTGAAAATAGAGTGAGATTTAACTCACATTGCATACATCTTACGAAAAATATTTTTCAGAGAAAAACCACTGGTGAATTATGTGTGGAAACCGTAAGATTCTGCATCTTATACCTCCCTAAGGGCATGGTGAACATACAAACAAATAGTTGAACTTGCTGGATATGTACTCACACCTGTCAGCTGGGATTCTGTTTTGCTTGTTTAGTGGCATCCTGCTACCTTGCTTTCAATGTTCATTTCAGAATTTCTTATCAGAAGCATACAATTTTTTGGTGAATAACTGTGTTTTTTAGTTCCTGTAGTGTATTGAATTATGTCCCCCCATAACACACTGAAGCCTGAATTGTGTCTCCCAGGTTTTATGTTTTAGAAACTTGGCCTCCACTGTGACTGTTAAGAGGGTGGGAAATTCTACTATGGTAATTGAAAGGTGGAGCCTTGAAGAGGTGATTAGATTGCAGGATCATGCCTTAGAGAATACACACTGAAGCCTGAATTGTGTCTCCCAGGTTTTATGTTTTAGAAACTTGGCCTCCACTGTTACTGTTAAGAGGGTGGGAAATTCTACTATGGTAATTGAAAGGTGGAGCCTTGAAGAGGTGATTAGATTGCAGGATCATGCCTTAGAGAATGGATTAAAAATGGTGGTCAGGGGCATGATTCTGAGGGCTTTAAAAGGACAGTGCATGAGTAACTGTCCCTCTCTTATCTCTCTGCTTCCACCATCTTGCAATGTGAGATCCCTGGGTCACTGTTGTCACCACCAGATGGACTTTGGACTTCGCAGCCTCAGAAACCATAAGCAATAAATTTTGTTTTTCTTTGTAAATCACCCAGTTTCAGGTATTTTGTAGCAACACAAAAATGGACTAATACAGTTCCTCAAATAGGAATGCTGCTTTCTCTCAGAATTGTGTTTGTTTTTACTTACATGGTACTATTCCTTAAAATGGAATCTGAGAAATGATAAAAAGTCATTCCTGCTATAACGATTAGTAGTCAGTACAGCTCCTTGGGTTGAAGCAGGTTCACTTTCAGAAGGCACTTACTGAAACCACATTGGGCTACCCAAAAGTTAATAGTTTACTTCCATTGAATTTATTCGTTTAGACTCTTTCCTATGCTTAGTACACACCATGGCCTGTCAGTCACGTGAAGGGATTGCTAAGTCAAGGCAAGGAGGAATTCCACAACACACTACTCTTATCCTCTCCTTGGCTAAATTCCCTGTAAATGGAAAATGAATCAAATCTCTCTCCTTCCCAAGGAATTGTGCTCTCCCTGGAATATAAGGAAGCTATTGGAAATGTTTTGAAAGGACATTTGATATATGAAAAACTGCTTACAATCCAACACTAAGAGAAAGAGCAAGTGTAAAGATATAACTACCGCATGATTTCTATTCAGTAAAAAAGAACGCAGAATGATGCCTGTGGTACGTGTCTGGGTCTGTCAAACACACGTGTGTTTATGTACGCATAGGAAGAAAAGAGAATGAAACAGACCAAACATTGGCTGTTGCTGATTAAGGAATTGGTGGGGATTCATTTCATTCTTTATAGCATATTTTCTTTAAAATATTTATTAATAAAAATGTATTACCTCTTATTTTATATATATGAGGGTACTTCAAAAAGTTCATGAAAAGATTCATATTATCTTTTAAATATATTTTTCCATGAACTTTTTAGAGTACCTTTGTATGTATGCAGTGGTCCCTCAGTATGCAAGGGGGATTGGTTCCAGGACCCCCTTGCATATACCAATGTTCACAAATACTCAAGTTCCTTATATAAAATGATGTAGTATTTGCATATAACCTATGCATATCCTCCTGAATATTTTCAATCATCTCTATATGACTTGTAATACCTAATGCAATGTAAATGCTGTGTAATATAATTATACTGTATTTTTAAGATTTGTATTATTTTATTATGGTAGTTATCTTCTATTGCTTTTAAAAATATTTTCTGTCTGTAGTTGGTTGAATCCATGGATGCAGAATCTGTGGCTATGGAAGGCCAACTATATTTAAAAAGTATTTCTTCATATTTTGTTAATTACCATCAGCACCTGAAGATAGGCCCTACAGACATAAGAATTCCTTCATCTTCTGTATATTTGCTCTGCCCCTGATCACCAAAAGGCCCTGCATTTTGCTTAGTGAGATAGACCTAGTAGGAAGACCTGCTGTCTCCAGGTGCTCTGAGTAAAAAGAAATCAGTGACCAATCTTCATGCTTTGGTTCCACAGACCTATTCATAGGCTTTCATTCTTCATCCCAAAGGGGCAAGTGTGACCCTAATTGACTTACCCCAAAATGTGACATTTTTGACATCTAAATAAAATGCCTTTTTTCGACTAGCTCAGTGGATGGTTGCTGTTCCTGCCTTGCAAGGGTTATTTCTCATATTTCAGCCATTTCTCTACTGAGAGAGACTCTGTTGATCTTACCCCTGAAGGCATGGAATGACACACCATCCACATTTTGGACAGTCGTCTTAAGTTTGCCTTCTATGTGTTCCCACTTGTCTTGACCTTACCCTTTGTAACCTCTGTAAACCCAGAGGGAGGTTTATAAAAACAGGAAAGCCAGGAATGGGGAAACTGAAAATTAAAAAATATTTAAATATATATATATATATATGCATGTATTTATAAGTAAATATATATATATATATATATATTTTTTTTTTTTTTTTTTCCTGTAAGTTTCAAGTGTGCAACTTTTGAGCCCTGGTTGTGGTTGATTTGAGCTTTGTGAGAATGATTCCTTTCTACATAGAAAAATCCTCAAATATTACAATAATATTTGCTTTTTACAGTGACAGTTCCCATAAGAGTCAGTGCTTCAGTGGCTTATTTAAACCATATAGTGTTAAAGTGGTCTGTAGTGAAAGAACCTGTTTTAAGAAGACACAGACTTGGAATATGGAATTAGAAAATCAACTACCTCCACCGCAGGAGACGGAGCAATCTGACTGTACTGTACTCCAGGCATAAGGGTGTCTTTTTGTGGTTGGCTGAGTTCCATTCACGACCTTGGGAAGTGCATACTTCCAAGCTATCCCCGGATTTTTGCCTTGCATCAGAATCTGGACAGTGTAAGATAAAAATCAGAGATCAAGATACAGGTCAGATCCTGGAATTCCAGAAATCTTGCTGAACATTTCAAAGATATTTGCATGACATTTTGACCTTAAAATTGGTTTGCCTTATTGCTCCCAAGTATGTTTTATGTTGATTTGAAGTTTTTCCATCACACTTTAAAATGTGTATCTTCATTTTATGAAAACTGTGATTTATAAAGATGCTAAACAGCAGAACATAATTTGGCATTTGCCATTAGCCTACAAACCTCAACTCTAGGTATACCCATTAGTAAATATTATAATAACAATAAATATTAAATAAATAATATTGATATTATTATCATATATATATAAATAATAAAGGAAGGAAGGCTATACAAGTATTTTTGGGTCTCAACCCTAACTTAAACATGAAAGCCCAGCATGGTACACAGACGTAGAGAACAGTTGCCCCACAGATAATAGCTGAAAGTGAATCCACATATATATATATTTTAATGCTCTATTCTGGGTCACCCATTAAAAGCTGTCTCCTGGGTGCCAGTAGAAGCTGGGTACAAGGAAAGCACTCTAAAAACCAAGGAATGTCCCATTTAGAGTTGCCTATCATAAACTTTAGAATCCAAATGGGTTTCTAACAGAATTTCCAAAGATAATTTGACCAAAGAGAACGTGTCTGTTGACTGTATCCAAGGATGAGCAGGTAAGAAAAGAAATATGATTGGAATCAGGAATTGGCAATATATGTACTGAAATGGATATAACCTCAAAAAACCAAGGACTCAGGATAAATCTGATCCTATCTAGTAAATCTGATCCTATAAGATCTGACTACTATAATAAGAGCAATCATTCATTGGATGTTTTCCAGGTACTGGGCACTCTGCTGGGCATTTTCTATGCATTATCTCAAAATATTCCTCTAACAACTCCATAATGTAGTTGCCTAGTTTTTATTAAAAAGAAATTGAAGAGAGACAACTTGTGCAAGATCACACAAGTGACTAGAAAATAAGCTTAAGTAAAACCTCCAACCAAATGTGCCTAAATAATGCAATATATATCACCTTGTTTTTGATGTCAGCAAAAACAATTATTTGCCTCCCTTCTTGATGCCTTCTTTTCTTAACTACTCTTTTTTTCAAGCTCAAAGCATGAATATAAATAGCTGGTTTTCTGCCATCCCATGAGTCTTGTGGCAAATTCTTTACCACCAGAACTGGGCATTCATGCCCATGAGCAAAGCCATTGACAGTTAAAAATAGGAACCTCTGGCTCTATCTCTGTCTGGTGGAATCCATCTCAATTAAAGTTGGGGTGGGTGGCAGCCGTTCAAGGACCTCCATTATACCAGACCACTCCTTAGAATGCTACAAAACTGTTTTGACTTTGCTATAAGCTGAAATATCTCCAGGAATATTATGGATATCTCTTAAGATTCCATGATGTGGACATCACTTTGTAGTGCAACAAAATAAATCTTGGTGCTAGAAACAAACAAAATGTCAATAGATGGATATGTATTCCCCCACCCCCACCCAAAACAAAATCAAAACAAAGTAGAACGGGAAGTGCCATTAAAATGCACAAATACCAAATTCTTATCAGTCACCAATGAAAACCTTCCCCAAATCAGTCTTAAGAGTCTTTTAGTTTTGAGGATCTTTCCCTTCTCTATTTTTTGCAGCTAAGTCATGTAGCTGTTCTTAGAATCATGTGTTCAAGTTAACATAACATTTCACACATTTTGAATAAATATCACACTTTTTAAATTTGGCACTTCTGCAGTGTTTCTGTTAATGTTTTCATGTGATATTTAATAAATAAAGAATCTTTACAGTTTTATTCACAATCAGAATAGAATTGTGAGTGCAGTTTTACATTAGATGATAACTTTGATGTTGATTGATATTTCCACTCAATTTCTTCTTCAATTAAGGCTGTATATTCAGATGAAAAACTTTTGGTTTCTGTTTTCTTCGTGCAACAGAAATGAAAAACTCTTGCAAGGGAGAAAATACTGTAGTGTACCACATTTACATGTGTGGCAATAAAATCCAAGTGAAATGCGTAAGAGTTGTAGGGCACTAAGTCCCACGAGGCAGGATGGTATTACAGTACAGAGGAATGTATCACACACGTGTCTCACGTGTAGTGTACCACATTTACATGTGTGGCAATAAAATCCAAGTGAAATGCGTAAGAGTTGTAGTGCACTAAGTCCCACGAGGCAGGATGGTATTACAGTACAGAGGAATGTATCACACACGTGTCTCACGGAGGCAAATTACAGTGAAAGTGCTAAAGAGAAAGAAATTTACTTACCTGCCTCCACTTTTAGTACCACCTCATTCCCTCCATTCCAACTTGAACCTGATTTCTACCACCATAGAGGAATGGATTCTCAGTGGAAATGTAAATTAAATATAAAAGAACATTAGTAGTTGTAGCCTTTTGAGCTTCAAGGACTTATGTTTTGGTGATGTAAGAGTGGTTTAACAAATTTTCTGTGTGCATTTAAAATATATTTACTTTCACCTTTTAGACATATTCTAGAGCCTAAGCCATACATAACATGTGGTTTCACCACAAAACATTTTAAAATGTTACTGTGAACAGCAGGATGCATTTAAGAAAAAAAAAATTAGATTGTAAAGATAAAATTACCATCACTATAAAAAAAAAATCAAGGTGTCAAGTTTCCCCAGACCTCCACTTAAGCCAACCATACAAAATCATCAATGCTACTAACAAGAAGAGAACTTATACAACCTCCCATCCTCAAGCCTGTTGCTGCAGCTGTATCCACATACACCTGCTCCCCTTCTGTTACTCAGGATGCCCTGTCCTGGCTCCTGTCTAAGTCCACGTCTTTCACTAAGCACCAATTCCATCTTCCCTCACCTATGTCAGTACATCACTACTATAGTTGATAGTTGCCTTCTATCTTGTGAGACTCACTGAAATTTCCCTGTCTGCTGGATCATTCCCATTGACATTCAAACATGCTATTACATCTTTCCTCTTAAGAAAAAAAAATCTTAACTTCACACATCCCTTTAGCTCATGTCCCATTTCTCTGTTTTAGAACAAAAAACCCTCTAAAAGTTACCTGTACTCTGTCTCCATGTTTCCTCATTAGCCCATGATCTTTGTCAATCAGGCATTCCTCCCCACCATGTCATTAAACTGTTCTGTCAAGGGAACGTTGTCATGCTCAATTAGTTAACAGTCCTCCCCTTATTCAACCGATCACCAGCACTGGACATAGTTGATAACTTCCCCCCGTTTCCCATCACTGGAAACCCTCTGTCTCAAGACTTTTCCCATCTCACTGACCTTCATTCCTCCTTTCTTTGCTGGGTCCTCCTAATCTCCTACCTATTCAAGGTCAGAGTGTCTTCCAACCTCTTGGCCTCTACTCCTGTTTATCTACGATCACTCTGCTAGGTGATCTCATCCAGTCCTCAGGTTTTAAATACGATCTACATGTTGACCACTCCGAAATCCAAATCTCTACACCAGCACTTTCAAATAGAACTTTCTGCAATGACCATAATGTACTATATTGTGTTGTTCCATATGGTAGCCACAAGCCACATGTGGCTACTGAGCACTTGAATGGTGCTAGTGTGATTGAAAAACAAACTTTTAATTTAATTTAAATTCAAGATTAACTTATCATATGTGGCTAATGGCTACCATGTTAGATGCATAGCGATAGCTAAAACCCAGCCTCTGGCCTCTATGTTCACAGACTCAACTGCCTACTTGGCATCTCTGCTTGAATGTTGGAAAGGTCTAGTAATGTCCAGGACTGAATTCCTGCCTCAGCCTTTCCCTTCTCATAAAATAGCAACCCATCCTTCTAATTGTTCAGGTCAGAATAAAAACTTGGAAGCACTCTGGACTGCTCTCTTTTCCTCATACCCCACATTTAATCAACCAGGAAATGGCATTACCTTTACTTTCAATATATCTCATGTTTTACCACCTCTATTCTTACTGCTGCTGCTCTGACCTAAGCCACCACCATCTCACTTGTGACTTCCATGGTCAAGGCACTGAAAAAAAGCAATCCAGGGAGGCGGAGAAATGATATCCTCCAGGAGAGAAGATGAGACAGGTCCACGTATAAAAATAATGTAGTGACAGTTACTTAATATATTAAAAATCAAGTGCTAGAGAGCCTGCAAAAGGGAAATCATATGCTTCTGAGGTGGGGGGCGGGAATCACATGACCATCTAAAAAATTTTGTAGCTATCATTTGGTTAATAATGTGTCACGGTGTGAAGATTTCAGCCAAGAAACCACAAAGCAACAAAATAGAACTTGAGTTTTCTTTAAGGATTTCTAATTCCCCCCTTCAAAGAGACAAACTGATATAGAAGCGTACTTCAAAAAGATCATGGAAAGATTCATATTATCTTACAATTCTATTTTTTCACAAACTTCTTAAAGTACCCTTGTATTGCATATCCTACCTCCCCATCCTCATAATTGAAATGAAAATATTAAAAATTTTCCAGAAAAGTAAAATTCTTGAGCTAAAAGCAAGAATAGCACTGAACAGAATATTTAATAGAATATAGAAACTCTTTCATTTTATATCCTCAAGGTAATGAGAAGTTTACATATTTGGCCAAAGCAAGAAGAGAAATAACTTACAATTTACTGTAAATATTCACAGGAACATTCAACATTAAATTACCAGCTCATAAAATATATCATAGCTGGTTATGTGTAAGTGTTTTACTATTACAGTTTTATAGCCAGTGGAATATATAGCATATTGTTTGTATTTTATTTGTTGAACATATTAATGCATTCATTGAATGCATAGATGAATAAAATCCTCTCAATATTACAAAAAATATGATGCAAGGCTTCACACTTTAATGTCTCTTTAGCTATAAATTCACATGTATGTGTACTCACACAGGCTGAAAGACAATATTTATAAAAACCAGTAGAAAGTTGACTTGAGAATTTATTTTAACAT